TCTGTGATTTCTATTTGTAATATAAGGAGTCACTTCATTTCTATGTGTTTTTCTCTAGCTTGCCTCGTTATGCACGCACGTGGATAAGTAATAATACCCGGGTATAAAATTTCAGGTTTCTAGGTACTTTCCTCTTGGAGCTATGATGGTCAAACATACACAGACACGCACGTGAGCACTCGCACGCACGTGGATATGATAAGTAATAATAACCAGATACACACCCTCAGGGCCCATTTAGTACGGGTGCAAAATTTCAGGTTTCTAGGTTCTTTCCACTTGTAGTTATGGTGGTCACATACACACGCATAGACACACCCTTTTATTATTTTTTTTTGTTGTACTGTGTTTATTACTCTGGTGCTGCAGTTTAATTGGTATTCAAGGGCTTATTGCTATGTGTGTTTGATTTTGTATTTTTCTTTTGTTGTTGGCTTTGTTAGCAAAGAGCTACACACAATGGTCTATCTGCGCTGTCCACTCCAGATTTTAGTATTGCAAATCTAGAAACGTTCTGTTGACCCACTGGGCATTGTATTTTGAAAAAGAGCCGGATAACATTTTATCTTATAATTATAAATATCAATGTTAAAAATTAAAAGGTTCTCTTTCTATTTTGTATTTTTGCTTTTATAAAATAACTTTTTTATTTTTATTTCTTTTGACATCAAATGCTCTTATTATAATATTGAAGAGTTTGGTTTGTATTCATAGTATTTTCATTTAATTTGCTATGATAAAGATCTATTTTGTAATTTCCTGATTATAAGATGTTTTGCTTTCTTTTTATACAAAAATGCGTATTCTGTACATTTTGATTTTGGTATCTTTTCTAATTTTATGATTTCATGTCAAACGTTCATCGTGTCTTTTTACTGTGTCTTATTTTCTATATAAAAAAGGCTTATTATGGCTAATGCTAATTTTGTACATAAAAGACTTTGTTTTGTTGTTTTTTTTCATTTTGTTCTTTATGCCAGCCTTTTTATTAGTACCATTGATGTAATATTTTGGAAAGAGTTAACTTCTCTTTTTTCATCTACTACTAAAGAAAGTGTTGTTTTATTTCACAATTTAATGTAATGTTAATGTGAGGGATTTGGAAGCTTTAAAAGTGGAGTGGAGGCCAATTTTTCTTTTAATGTCTTGAAAGCATGCTGGCAAGAAACTGTCCAATCGAACTTCTAGCCTTTTTTGTCAAATAATGTAGTGGAGCAACTATAGTTGCAAAGTCCTTCACAAACGTCCGGT